TCAGTTCCAGACAACAGGCTCAACCCTTGTGCATCTTAGTTTACTTCAAACTACTCTGGATGAACCTGGCCAGATGCCCAGGCTAGCCCTGGGCCAGGGCTGGTTTGTGTTCTGTAGGTCTTCGTAATGGGGCAGCCGAGACCGCCACTGGGACTGTTTTTTAACAAAGTATTCACACAGCGTACTTGTCACTCAGAGTTGTAGATAACCGTCATCGTCCCAGGCCCTCTGCCAAGAGCGCAACCGTCTGCTCTTAGCGGGTGAGAAGACTGTCTAGCAGCCCTTGGATTCTGCTTCCCCATGGCCGCATCCCCTTCAGACTCTCGCCATCCTCTCTAGTCTGGCTTCCCCTCCATGTAAGCACCATTCCGCTGTTTATCTCAAACCAACACACATTTTCTTCCTTCTGTATCATCCGTCAGTGACTCCTTCCATCGAGGAAACAAAACAAAACCCAGTGTCTTCTCTCTGTACTTAAGACCTTTCACGGCTATGCAGAGGAGTCACCAGGTCCCTAGAGGTCCTCACGGCCCCGGAAGACCCCTGCCGGGTGACTTTCAAGTCTTTGTTGGGCTAGCCCCATCCTGCCAGGAGGCTCCTGTCTTCCCCACAAAAGCTTCTGCTCTCCCACTCTTTAAGCCCAATCCTTCATCGCTTTTAGGTTAAGGCAAAGCCTGAGCCTTGTACATGCCTGGCATATCGGGTGCTAAAAAGCAAATTACTTAATTAGCACATTTTACTTTCACCCCTAAAATGTGGTTCTTCCCCTTAGCGTCTGTTTTCTCTAAGAGCTTTGGTTAGGTTGGTAGGTACAATGGGAAAAGTTTTGTATAGATTTGAGTTTAAAACTCTGATTCATGGGGCTGGAGAGATGGCCCAGCAGTTCAGAGCAGTCCCGGCACCCACATGGCGACCCACCTGCTCACCTGTAACGCCAGCTCCAGAGGACCTGCGGCTTCCTCCGGCCTGTGCTGGCTTCAGGCGTGCACATGGTACTCATATATACATGCAGACAAGATTACTCAGACATAAAAATGTAAATGCCATGGTACCATTCACTTGCGACAGGGTCTTGAGCAAGATTCACTGTTTCCTCAGTGGTGAAATGAGGGTGATAATTCCTTCAATTGCCCGAGGATTAGACAAGACGGATGTAGCATTGGATGAATAACAATAGCCTTTTTTTCCCCATTGACTTCTTCAATTTACTCTGCAACATTCATGAATAACACCCCACTACAAAGTTCTGGTTTTAGCTAGGCCTGATTGATACAGGCCTGTAATTCATTCAATAGGCTGAGACAGGAGGATCATGAGTTTAAGGCCAGCCTGGGCAACTCAGTGAGATCCTGCTTTGGGGGTGGGATGGAGGGGGAGACTAGGGGGATAGCTCAGTGGATAAAGCATAAGGACTGGGGGTTGGAATCCCAGAAGCCACATAAATGCTGGGCAGGTGTGGTGGCCACCTGTAATCCCAGTCCTTGGAAGGCAGGGACAGGAACTAGGCAGTTTGGCTAGCTAGACTAGCTAAGGTTAGTAACTTCCAGGTTCAGCACGAGACCTGCCCCAATAGAGTGGAGAAAGATTAAGGAAGACAGTGTTAACTTTGGGCCTACACACGCATTCATTCACACACAGAGAAGCATCATACATAAGCAAAAAACCATGGGCTATAGCTCAGTGGTACAGTGCCTGCTAGCCTGCTTAGGGCCCTAACTCCAAACCACAGTGTCACACACACACACACACACACACACACACACACACACACACTCCCCTACCCTTCCCACCTCTCACTGTGAACTCTAGCTAGGCTTCTAAATGACTCTATCCCAGAAGAGTTAAATGCCTGAAGTTCTGAAAGCTCTTGCTTCCCATCCTACTCACCAGGGTACCTTATTACTTTAATTTCTCAGTCCTTTGAATTATTATTGCCTTTTTGAGCCAAGAAAATCAGAGCAGAGGTAAGGTCTTGTCTTTGAGGGTGAGAGAGGCTCTGCAGAGATCATCTCTAGACACTAATTCCTGGCTCCTTCCCTTTACGCCTCAGGGCATCCAGCCTCGCGAATGCAGCCACTTAAAATCAACTGACAGTGTTAAATGTCTAAAGTTACTGCCTTTTTTTTTTTTTTTAGAGTCAGGGAGATACCTTAGTGGATAAAGGTACTTACTGCTGAGCCCAAAAACCTGAGTGCGATTCCCAGAACCCACATGACGGAAGAAAAAATTCCTGCAAGTTGTCACCTGACCTCTATACAGACACTGTGGTCTATGTGCACCCCCACGTACACACACACACACACACACACACACACACACACACACACACCTTTGAGCCTCTGATGAGACAGCGGTGTGTGACTTTGCCACAGTATCTGGAAAAGCCCTCGAAACCTTGGTTCACCCTAGCTGGCAGGACTCGCCGCCTCAGACATGAGGATTAATGTGTGTAGCCCTAATCTGGCAACAGACGGCAGAACTCAGCACCCTCTCTCACTGCCTTCCACGAAGGTGTAGGGTGTCCCCGTACAGCGGGACAGAAGAGCACAAAGAAAGCATGCAAGCACTTCTTCCTGGTTCCTGCTGAACGCGAAGCCGAATAACAAAAGACACCTTAAAGGCCAAAAAGTTAACTTTATTGACTGCCGATCTCACCATGAAACACCTGTAAGAAATAATTACAAAATAATGCGAGTTTTTTTTTTTTAAACATACTTTCAGTATCATCCCGACATGGTGATCCTTTCACAGAAAGGATTATTTACAGCTTACTGAGATATAAAGCTCACTGTGGCGAATACAAACGCGGGTGACATGGAGCGGTGACATGTTCCGACCTGGTCTGTGTACCAGTCATCGACATGTTAACCAATGCAGCATCAACAACAGCTGTGTCGTTTTCTTTTCCTTTATTTTTAAAAACAATTTCCCAATACAAAAATGTCAATTATTCGAAGTGGGTTTTCACATAGCTACCTGTGTAAGAGTCTACCACGGACCACAAAATTACAAATGTTCCCTAGCAGGTTTCCTCTTTGAAAAATCTGTAAGGCTAATCCCAAATCCAGCCAAAGGAGAGGGAAGGAAAAGCAACACCCCTGGCAGAACCCTGGAGACTGGATTCTGGAGCAGAGAGGAAAAAGAATACAGAGTACGACCTGTTCAATTAAACAACTATTTTATCTTTGTATCTGCAAGCGCCGCTGAGGGCCATGGGAACACACGGCACGGCGACCGGGGCTCTCAAGAAGACCAACTTCCCCAGGGCCTGGCCCCTAAGCATCTGTGAAAAAATGGTGAGATTATGTAATGACTCATAAGCAAAAGAAGTCATTAAATCATCCCTTCAACTTCCAGCCTTCTGCAAGGAGACTGAGATAAATTCTGGTATCAGAGACTTTGGTTCTTCTCAAAAGCATTTGACAACAGCAAAAATAATGTCATGGCCACAGAACTTTTTTCTTTTGTTCTTCTTTTTAAGGGGTCTGGTGAGAGTTACTGGGTGACATTGTGCGGCAGCTGTGCCTGCACAGGAGGGCAGCATGGTGGGGCAGCCCCCGTGGCCGCCACCGGTTCTGTAACACTGACTCCCACCCACAGGGAACGCTGCTTAAGTTCTGCCGTGCCCTACGTCTATTTCTTCGTTACTTGAAAACATAATTTTGTAGAAAAATATGAGCTTCTTTAGAAAATAATACATTTTTTAATAAAACCTGGCAGATAGCAAAAATGGAGTATCAAAATATGGTAAACAAATGTTGTAAAATACTAAATCATTAAAAACACCCCCTAGAAAGACATTGTGCTGTGAAGTCCTCTCCCGAAGTGCGAGCAACATTTCACTGCATGTCAAGTTGCTAAACTCGTCCCCTGGCTTGCTCTGACCACACACTGTAACAGTAGCAGTAGCAGGGCAGTGACCGTCTTCTTAAACATGGCCCATCCACCATTACTAATATCCCCTGTATACTTTCATTTCGAAGTTAATAAAAATACACTCTTGGATCAGTGGGCTCCAATCCTACTGTGCATTACCTCTGCCTAGCAAACTTTACAAGAAAAGACAGTCTCACCCGGGCCCCACCCACAAGAGCCTGATTTGAACTGACCTGGGGTAGGACCCAGGCTTGTTTTAAAAGCTCCCCAGAGGAAGTCTTATGATGCAATCGGGGTTGAGAATCTTGGCCAAAGGCACACAAGGAAAGTCACTCTTAACTCTACATTATCAACTGATTGTCTGTGGCGACCATTCTTCCAATAATGTACCCTCAACCTTAAACACGGAATTCTATGTGTGCAAGACATACGCGGAAATCCGAATGAAGAGTCATTAGGTTTCAAACACATATAAACACACAGAGTTCCATGTATCTATACACATGTGACATATACACACAGCTAGGGTATCTTTTTAAAGCAGAAACTAGCATTGCCACCATTAAAAAAAACAACAAAGAAAATACCACCAAACAAACTTTTTCTAAGACATTTCCACTGTTTTTTTTAACATATACCAGCTTTGTAAACTCCACAAAACGCACCATGTCACTGACACAAGCGAATCCCAGAGCTTCCTGGAAGACCAGCACAGTGGGCGTGGCACCGTGTGAAGGAGTCCCAGCATGCCTCTTCCGGCTCTGAGAAGCACTTCCATTGTACACGCATCTTTGGCTAGAACCCCAGACTCCCACCACTCCGTCGGTGTTCATTTTGGGCTAGCCTCTGTGAGGCAGCCATGGCTATAGACCTAAGAATGACTCTCTGTAAAAGAAGAGAGAACTTCCATCTGTCCTCCCTCAAGACATAAGCGCTCCATGAGGGAGTGGCTAAAAAAAAATAAACAAACAGATAAGCCTAACATCTTCCGTGTGAATAACGTATTTGAACTAGAAAACAAGGGATGAACACACACCACAGCCTAAGCCTGGAAGCTGGGCAAGCTCTAAAGCACACTTCCCCCCAAAGGGTCAATAAACATCCGGGCACTTGTCTGCCTTTTACATTCTGTGTATCTTTTACTTCTGCATAATACTTAAAGTGCATTGTCCCAAGGCTTTCGTTTCCATAGTGGATATTATAAAGAAAGAGCTAAATTTGGGGTGAAAAAAAATATGGCACAAATAATATGTGAAGGACCTCGGACTCCACAGCCTTCAGCAGACAGCAGCTGCCCGCAGGGCTGCCCGCAGTGGGGCTTATACGACGAACTCCGGGACCTCGTCGTGAGTGAGGTCCAGGGAGAAGTATTTGCTGGTTCTTTTGACTGGGAAAGTGTCTTGGATGTTGATGCACTGCCGAGCCAAGCAGCTGTTGCAGTAGAGACCGTCCTCCTCCAGTCCATGGCCACACCCGAAGGTGTAACTCTGAGCAGTGTCCTGACACAGACCTGCGATGCGCAGGAAGTCTTTCTGGTACAGCCTGATGTCATCAAGGCTCAGGCTGTGTCGATCGGTGGAAGTCTTTGGTTTCCGACATATTGTCTGCAAGACAAGGGAAGGGTGAGAAGATGCGGTGATGTGGACTGCCTGGGAAGGTAGTGTCTCTGGCCAGCTGAGAGAGCCGCGGCAAAAGCGTAAAATGTCAAGCAGTCCTTCCGTGTTACAAAGTGATTTCCTACCCACGGCTTCTGCGGGAAGGAACTTTGATCGACTATTTAAATCAGTGTGCCTGTATTCTGCCTGGACACTCAGCTGGTACGAACTGTGTAGTGTCCCTCCCCAGTCTATAGAGCCAACACAAAGACAGGTGAGCAACTACTCGCACGTGAGAGATCCAGCAATTACTGCAAAAGAAGGCTATAAAGATAGAAATACTGTTTTTCTTTCTTTTTTTTCTTCCATCAGGACAGGGCAGTTCAACTGGCTAACACCCTTCCTGTTTGTGTCTATTAATATTTTAATAAGAAATGGAAAAGCAATTATCACTCAAGAAACACAGCTTGAAGAAGCAAGTTCTAGAGTCCAGAATAGAGAGTTCTTGCTGCCGGAAGCTGGGAGGAAACTGGGGCTGCAAAGACGGCATAGCTGTTAAGAGAATGGGCTACTCTTGCAGAAGACCCGGTTCAGTTCCCAGTGCCCACAGCAGTGGCTCATAACCGCTTGTGACTCTGGCTCCTGGGACCCGCCACTCTCTTCTGTCCTCTACAGGTACCTGCATGCATGTGCACACACATGCACACTAATAAAAAATAAATTTCGAAATACAGAATGAAAAAAACAGCAGTTCTGGCCAGAAAGGGCTTGTCCTTCCAAATGGTACCAGTAGGTGGCAGGCCTTTGGAATTCATTATCCAAGTGGTCCTGGTGTAATGGAGAACACTGGCTCGGAGAGTAACACAAACGGGAGATGCTTACTAGGTGATGTGAAGAAACTAGATAGTCTAAGCTTGTTGTTTAGCACCACAAGGAACATCTTGTCGGAAAAAGACACCACTTTTCTAGACACTAACATTCCAGGAGCACATTTTGCTAAAAAGGGTCACATATGAGAGACACTGGCTATATGGAATGTCCCCTCAAACTTGATATAGTCTTCCCAGGTCTCAAAAGGAGCTCAGACAAGGAATTATTTGGTTATTTCCAGAAACCCTCAAGGCACACAAATGTCCCAGAGCTGTAGGTTTGGCATTTGCTGCTTAGCTGTGATACCTGTGACATCCATGTACAGTGTAGTATATATGGGGTGGCAGAACTTGGGTTCCAATTTTCCATGCTACACCTACTGTTTAATATCGGAAATTCTAGAATTATAGAAGTATGTGTACATTTTTAAAGAGTTGTACCAGCGGTCACAGCCTCAGACAGTGTAAGTGAAGGTGGGCTTTGAGGTCTTATATGCTCAAGTTATACCCAGTGTGGCCCACAGTTCACTTCCTGCTGTCTGTGGATCATGATGTAGACCTCTCAGTTCCTCTCCAGGACCATGTCTGTCTGTATTCTGCCATGTTTTCCTGCCATGCTGATAACGGACTAAACCTCTGAACTGTAAGCTAGCTCCAATTACATGTCATCCTTTATAGGAGTTGCTGTGGTCAATGTGTCTCTTTACAGCAATAGAAACCCTATGAAGGCAGAATGCCTACAACTCCAGTTCACAATATAAAGGTTTCAATGCCCAGTACCTGTGGAAGGGAGTCGGTGCTCTGTCCACGCAGCTTGACAACCGTTTCTGAAGAGCTGGAGGTGGAAGAGCTGATTTCTTTCACAATTAACCCTGAGGTAGAACAGAAAGAACAATGAACCTCCTCCACATTTCTGACAAGGCCAGCTGTGACCATTACTGAGGACGCTCATGGTGGCTCCTCGGTGGCTCACAGCTAGTGGTACCCACTCTTTGCTAGGAAGCAGAGGGTGACGAGTAAGGGTCAGCTGGGGTGGGGAGGTGAGAAGAGGCCTTTTGACCTCGTCTCCGCGTCTCCCTTCTCCTCTCATGTACCACAGTGTGCAGCACCAACATTATCTCCTAGCTTTGGGTCTATGTGGACATTAGGAGTGAGGAGCAATCAGGTGGGCTGGGGGGCTGGAACCTGCCCAGATAATTAACTGACTGTGTATCCTGGCCAATTCTCAAGTCTCCTCACATCTCATTAGCTTCCTTCTACAAACAGGGCCGCTACTCAACTAGCATTTTTGTGATGGTTAAACAGTAATGGACAAAAGGGTCAGGAGCTCTGGCTGGCCAACAGGTCACTATGACCACAGTCCCCGTGGCAGATCCCAGTGGGAAGAGATCAAGATGGAGATGGTAGTGAGAACTCAGCACTGGGTCTCAGACATCAGCGCAGCTCTTAATCACCTCTGGACCTCGAGGAAACCTCCATTTCCAGAACCAGAAATGCAAGGATGATAGTCTCCTTTCTGACTTTAACATGGGAGTGATGCACTCTCCAAAACGTTCCAGAGGCTAAAATCACCAACCCGGGCTGGATACTGGACCAAACACCACTGAAACAAGTGAGGACCAGCAGAGGTGTAAAGACAATGGCTCAGAGGGACATACACTCCCAGCACCCCACGGCCAGCAGCCTATAGCGCCTAGTATGCACCTTGTAAATACGGAGGATTCAGTAAGCAGCTCAACTGAAACATGAACCGTGAAGCTTCTACACAGGTGCTTTAGATGCTCTTGCTTGGGATGCAGTGTGAGCCCCTGAGTAGATCCCACAGGACTGAAGGGCTTGCGCACCATTGGGTATGTGGGATGATTCTGTGAGGGTTCTCTGGTAATGTTCTTGGCTCCTATGCCTGTGAACACTCCTCCACGCTCAGATCCGCCACTGAAGAAGTCAGAGTCAGGCATGGCTGCCCTCATCAGTCCTCAATCCACCACGAGAGTGCAAAGGCCATGCTCATGTGGTACAGAAAATGGAGAGCTGGGGTGATGCGAGGAGCAGCTGAAAGCATCCGTGACCCCATCAAAGTCACGTTTTTATGTAAACAGTTTCAGTTATATCACTTTTATATAACTTGTGTTTTTGTTGCCTAGCTTTTTAATTCTGTATAGTATCCTTCAAAAACTCATGGAAAGGCTATCTCCAATGTCTAGTGATCAGATAATTCAACTAGTCACTGTTTGCCTTTTTCACTATTAAAAAGGTATATTAAATATTAACAGCCATACTATTTAAATTCTGTTTCTATTAAAAATTACAAAATTAATCATCTCATGAAAATTGAAAGCAGAAACATATAAATACAAAGCACTTGCTAGTGGCCCACATATTCCACTTTCATGGGCATTTTGTATATACCGCTTCAAATCATTTTCTTTTTACAAACATAACTATGCAGCACTTCCCACGCACTTATCACATGCACACAGCTGAGGATTTCCACATAATGAGAACGGGCAGGAGGCACCAAGGCTGGCCCAGCATTGTGAACTTGGGCTGGTGTGGACAGGAGGCTCCATCCGCACTGCTGGTGGGTCGGCCACGGTTTGGGTAGACCATCTACAAGTGTGCTTAGGCTGGGTGAGCAAAAAGGATTCTGCAAGGGATTGTTCCTTGTGCTCTGTACAGTAGGAGGCGGGATGAAGGAGACTGTGTGTCTGTCTAGTTTCCCTCTGACGGCTGCTGTCCGCCACTCAGAGAGACAGATGGAAGAGCCTCTCCCTTGATCAAAGCTGAAAGTGGTTGGGGAATAAGGATCCGGGGTCCCTTTACAGAGCTGGCTCCCTAAATCTTAAGTCTTAAGAACAGACCCGTGATAGAGGCACACAGAGGTTTTAAAACAAACTCACACTGCTGACTTCAGATGGTGGAAATTTGTAATGGTGGCATTACGGAATATTATATAACCCTAGTGTTGAAGTTACTGTGAAGACATGTTTTCTAGAAGAATTCGTGCAAATGTGCAGTTTAAGAATGTCCACCTCTGTGAACGACAGCATGGTCTACAGAGCGAATTCTAGGGGAGCCTGGAATTTGAGATAGAGAAAGCCTGTCTCAAACAAACAAATCAACAACAACAAAAGAGAAAAAAAAAGACTATCAAAAAACTACACTGGTTTTTCTTGCAGATTCTTTTCTTCAGACCAAACCTGGAGACCTGACTTCTGTTTCTAGTCATGGACACTTGTCTCTTTAATCTCTATATACTTCTCATGTATACAAGGAAAGAGGCCAGACTGAAGGGTCTCCAAGGTTCCCTCTGGGGCCACAGGGTTCTCTAATTATCAGGTTGATAATAGCAAGGAGGAAGATGGGAGAAGGAAAGAAAAGAAAGTCAGTCACCCTATAGCACAGCGTGGTCCATAGCCTGTGTAAAAGATGCTAATGCTCCTTCCTGGTATCCCCCACCCCCAAACACACGCGCGTGCGCACACACACACACAGACACACGCACGCACGCACGCACACATGCACACACACACAGTCTACAGACGGCACCTGGCCTTGTGACGGTCGAGTGACCCAGAGTGGCTGCTCTCCATGGTGAACTGAGCATGCCCACTCTCTTCCTAGTCTCAGAGTCAAACGCTTGTGGGTTGCTGTGAGAGCTCACCCGAGTGTCCATTCAGCTTCCTCGACAGGAGCATGTCCTCTGTGATGTAGATGCACACGTCGGGGCTGACTTCCAGTGACTCTTCTGTCATTGGCTCCAGGTCCCTGGGGTCATCGACCAACATCTCTATTTCTGACACAGAAGCAGGGAAGAAGACACTGAATGATCCCAAGGAAAACGAAGACTATACCCACAGCCACATCACACTGTGAGGGCGGCCAGGTAAACAGCCACGCTGAGAATGAACCGAGAGCGTGACTCTGCGGGAGCGACTGTAGGGACACTCTCAGTCTAGGTTCCTTCTGAAGGATCGCTGGTGCTGCCCGCTCCACTCTTTACGCGGTAGGGTCATGCTGCAGTGACCCGGGGCTAACTGATGCTGACGGGTCATTAGCACCAGGGCGAGGACTGCTGACCCATGCCCACCTGAGCGCCCCAAAGCGGCTGCTGTGGAGTCCTGTGCAGCGGTACAGCGTTCAGGGGCCTAATGTGTTGTGCAGCTTTTCTTAACAGAGCCAGTCGTGTTTCTTTGTTTGTCTGTTTTCATCAAGCCCAGATGTCACAGAGCTCATGTGAAACAGAACAAAAGAGGTAAACAAACGCTACATCTGGCAGACACAGGCTGGGATCTGCTGCGTTCTCTCCACAGAGAGCGATGTCCTAGCAGCCAGGTTCTGTGTTTCTTTTATACTCCCTGTGGTTCCGGTGGCATGGGGAACACTCAAGAAAACACTTTAGGGCTTAACGGTATGTACTGGGTGTAATGTTTCAGGGGAAGAAGAACACAGGACAAAAGGGCTACAGGACTTCTGTCCCCTTGACTTCATACAAGCTGCCAACCCTGAGGCTGCCAAGGTCCCTGACAGACACGGGTAACTCAACCATGTCCCTGGGGGAGACGGCCAGACCTCTCTACCACCATTACTTAGTCACTAACCAGATACTAATGCTACGGGACCAACATGGGGAAAAGCCGCAGCGCCAGGAGTTACCATCGTCCTGAGAGTCCTCTTCCAGACGCTCTTTGCCGCCGCTCTCCACTCCTGAAGTGTGGGAGCTGCCATGGCTGGTCATGGAGCTGCAGGTCTTCAGCTTGCGGTGCATGGCGCTGCCGGAACAGCTGTCTTCTGGCCCGGGATCCCGGGGCTTAGTGTCTGCTTCGATGCCGGAGGTGTGGGAGCTGCTGTGGCTGGCCGTGGAGTGGCGGGACAGGCGCTTATGCTTCGCGCTGCCGGCGCTGCTCCCGCTGGCACGGGACCGCTTTTCCAGCTGGTCCATGTCAAGGTCCAGGGTGTCACTGATGTAGGATTCCCGGTACTGCTTCTTCTCTGTGTGGGAAAATGCAGCTCAGCAGCATGCTCAGCCAAGGCAGAGTGCATGAGAGGGCCAGGCTGAGATCAAGGGCAGCCTCTTTGACTGAGGAATTCGGGGAGCTGGAGCTTGCTGTAGGAACACTATGTGGGGAATAAACATCAGCGCAGCAGTGCCTTGGGGGGACTTAGAACAGCCAGTTATGAAGCTCCAGACACCAGAGAAGTGAGCCCTTCTGAGTGTCATGGCGTGTCACTTACTCCCTGTCTGCAGACTGCTACCATTCCACAGTGAAATAAATTCAGGGACTGAGAGCACCTATCACCTTGCAGCGTGACGGTGACATTACCATGGCAGTCACTATGGGATTCTGCATTTTGCAAAGCTGGCAGATAACAGCATGTTAAATATCAAAATCTGGTCCTCCACGGATGATTCTAGAAACATTCAATGACTGGTTATTCAATATGCTAACTGCTGTCCTGTTACCTTCAGTTGCTGAACCCAACAAGACAAAGCTATTCAGAAAATTTCTTTCAAAAGATTCTAAAACTTAGCTTTTCAAGTAATCCAAGAAGAGCCGGGTGGTGGTGGTGCATGCCTTTAATCCCAGAGGCAGAGGCAGGCGGATCTCTGTGAGTTCGCGACCAGCCTGGTCTACAAGAGCTAGTTCCAGGACAGGCTCCAAAAAACCACAGAGAAACCGTCTCGAAAAAAAAAAAAAAGTAATCCAAGAAGAATGACTTTCTCCAGTTTGGCCAAAAAGTGAGGCACTCTTTACCACGATCACCACTAACGGCTTCGTGCCACACCCAGGTGACCTTCGATTGGTAAAAATCCTCAGCTATTGGCTGAAGCAGTCAAAACAGACTTGAGGAAGCTCTCTTAGCAAACACTAAGCTAAATAAATAGATGTGGGGGTTACAAAGCCACACACGGACACATAAAATGAGCAGCTGGACTAGGGCGCGGTGCTCACTGCAGAAATCTTATGTTTCAGGTGAGAAACATTTAAAAGCAACAGTCTGGCTTCCGTAAAACTGATGAGAAAGAAACACAGCAGACCAATGTTAAGGACAGAGTACATTTGGGGACCATTAAACTGATGTAATCTTAGACTAGCAGACTATAATTGGGATCTTGGGGGCCTGTTAATGGACATACTTGTCCTGCTTCTTGGCTAAGTGAAAACACTCGCAGCCCTTCTGTCTGCACACAGTCCTGAACCTGCACCCCCACCCGCTCTCTGGAGGCAGTGGGTAGCAGGACAAAGAAAGGAGGCCTGGGGATGGAGCTCATAGTCCTCTGCCTCCTTCTGACCACAAGAGCCCGTAGCCAGATCATCAGAACCATGCCTTCTACAGCGTAAGCCGGGAGAACAGAGGTTTTTTCAGACTGTATTTTGGATATAATGTCGTAAGTGTGACTTCTTGATCTGGGACCTAAGAATGAGTTCTAGTAACTGTAGATGATGTTTTTTGTTTGTTTGCTTTTTTCAAGACAGGGTTTCTCTGTGTAGCAGCCCTAGTGCCCTGGGTTTCACTTTGCAGACCAGGCTGGCCTCAAACTCACGGAGAGTTGTCTGCCTCAGATGATGCTGAGATTACAGGCAAGCACCACCGACTGGCTAGATGATATTTTAAAGACACTAGGCACACTTTCCTTCTCTCAACCACAAGTATTCTTGTGACCTTTTCTATAATAATGGTGAAACGGTAGTATCTTAAAAAGGTATGTAGAAATAAAATTTAAGAATACCCCCTCTTTATATGTTCAACTAAATGCAAAAAAGGGCTTTTCTGGTGAAAATGATAAAGCCCTTACATGTGGATTAGCTCTCAGAAACTTGGTGTGAGAATTTTTTCAGACCTGAAGGTACCTCTAAGAAGGAAAAATAAACAAACAACCCCATCCCTGCCGAGATGGGGTTTCTTTGTGTTAAGTCCTAGCTGTCCTGGAACTAGCTCTGCAGAGCAGGCTGGCCTTGAATTCACAGAGATCCACCTACCTCTGCCTCCCAGGTGCTGGGATTAAAGGCATGCGCCACCACTGCTCGTATTTTTTTTTTTGTAGGAATACTGTCCCCATCATTTATTTGAACTGAACCAAATGAAAGATGCAACATGCACCGTTATCATTTCTCTAGTCCCCTATTGTGCTCTGAATGCCCCTCTCAACCCTGGTTGAAATTTCATCAGCGTTGAGATGTGGGGCTGGTTCGGAAGTGACGAGGCTGTGACAGCTCTGTCCTTATTAATGGGCAAATGTGACCGTGGGAGTCTCCTCCAGTCTCCTGCGCCTGCTCCTTGTTCTTCCAGATGATGCATCAGGAAGTCTCCACCAGACACCCAGCCTTGTTTGGGCTTCCCAGACATTCTCTCTGCATCACCAGCCTGGAGCGCTCTGCTCCGGCAGCAGACTGAACTGAAACACTTGCTCCCTTAAGTTATAACACATCAAGGGGACAGTGCCCGGGCCTCCACGAGCTCAGTGTCCTCTGTAACCTCACCAAATCTACCAGACTCTCAAGGGTTCCATTCAAGGTCTTCTGCACCACTAAAATGCTTTGGGCTGAGGATTGATGTGATAAATAAATCTCTTTTAAGGTGCCACAGTGGCCACTTAGGAATGAGGCAGAGGAGGAAAATCATGGGCTCTACACCCGGCTGAGTCACCTGTTCTCACAGGCTCCTCCTTGGTGCTTTTGTCCCTGAGAGGATCCCTCTTAACATTCATGCCAGCCCAGAGGTGACATATTGGCTAGGCTGACGGGACAATGGCAGTCTGCAGCAGCAGCCGGGACATCAGAGGGTGCCACAGGAGAGTCACAGTGGCAGAAGGGACGGAGAGATTCATGTTCCCATCATTGCAGACAAAGGACTCTCCACACAGATCTGACCACACCGGCTTTAGGGAAGTTGGTCAGATGCATGTGTCTTTAAGGCTGCGCTGTTAGAGGACCGCTGGAGTCAGCAGTTGCTTCCAGAGCTAACGCATGAACCGCATGCACCACTGTGTCCTGAGGCCCGGCAGACATTCCATTTCTAATCTGATTACTGTGACAGTGACCACAATAGGACTCTGTGCAACAAACTGAAAGCAATGCTCAGCAAACCCATTTGGGGCTGAGAAGCTGGTATTTACTAAGCAGAGGAGCCCCAGGGTGTCACAACTGATAAAGACAGAATCTGTTAAACTGAGGTCATCTACCGGAGGCCCCAACACTGCCTCCTTCCCCACACAGTTAGCCCTCTTAGACAGTGCTAGGACCTCAGACACGCTCTTCAGCTTCACCGCATCTCCATGGAACCACCATGCAGCTGTGGGCAAACTCCTTGGCTGGAAAAAGCCTCCCCCACTTTTATTATTATAGGGTCAGTCACCTTGAGGGTCTCCCTGCAGTCAGTCAGAGAAGCTGTGATCTATCTTCACTGACACTTGGGCCTAAGGAAAGCACCAGGTTAGGAGGAACTGCGGCGTCCTGTAGAGAGCAAGGCCATGGCCTGGTGCAGTCAGACTCTGATGCAGAAGGTTCCATTCTAGCTCTCTGCAAGCTTTTCAGGCTGGGGCTAGAAACTCTAAATAGGAGGCTGGGGAGCTGCTCAGTGGGAGGGCCTCCTGGGCTGAGACCAGAATGGAACTGAGCTCTGAAGTCCTAGTCCCCATTCCTGGCAGGGAGAGCAGGAGGCTAGCGGTGCTAAGGCAGTCTTTGCTTTCCCCATGTGGGGCCCACAACACCACCCCACCCGTCTCACCTTCGTTCTCCTCCAGCTTGCGGAGGTGGCGCAGGACCGGCTGCAGGTTCATGTAGAGGCGGTGGCTATTGCTCAGCAGCTGCAGGAGATGCCGGGAGCGTGTGGGACACCCTGTATAGTAGACTAGCTTCCTGGCGGAGGGAAGGCCGTCGGGCAAAATCTCAAACTTCTTGCCCTGTGGAGAAAAAGCGCAAATCAAATTATGGCAGAAAACTCCCCCAACAGCCAAAGTCCACTAAGCTTTTTATTTATTTATTTATTTTAGATAGTTTATTTATTTTTACTTTATGTATACTGGTGTTTTGTCTGCATGTATGTCTGTGAGGGTGTCAGATCTTGGAGTTACAGACAGTTGTGAGCTGCCATGTGGCTGCTGGGAATTGAACCTAGGACTATGGAAGAGCCGTCAGTGCTCTCAACCGCTGAGCCATCTCTCCAGCCCATCCCCTACACCATTAAACTAAGATTCTCACAGATGTGTGAAGCTGAACTGACCGTTCTGAGGGACAAATCATTGTTTTTTCTCCTTCAGAGCTGTTGAAGGACAGAGAATACCAAACTCAGGTGGGTTCTATCCAGGGTTTCCGGGAAGCCCTCACGGTGGGACGGGTCGGGCCCAGCACAAGAGATCCCTCCAAATACAATCCCAACACCTTAATGTAGCACATGAAAGGAGGTAGAGCTGGAGTAAAGGAACAGGGGACGGAAATTTACATACAGATTACGTTTATGTTTTTAAAGCATTGACTCTTGGATTTATTGGGCCACAATGTCGGGATGTTAATAACTGAATTCAGTAAGCATTAAACATGCATCAATTCATCTAGCCCTCACAAGAAGTTTGCCACTTGGTAGAAGAGCAGATTATCACTATTTGAAAGGAATGCCAAGGTGGAGAGAAACTGAGTCTCTTTTTTTTTTTTTTTTTTTGGTTTTTCGAGACAGGGTTTCTCTGTGGCTTTGGAGCCTGTCCTGGAACTAGCTCTGTAGACCAGGCTGGTCTCGAACTCACAGAGATCCACCTGCCTCTGCCTCCCGAGTGCTGGGATTAAAGGCGTGTGCCACCAACGCCCGGCCTGAGTCTCTTCTTAAAGGACACATGTAGGCAGGGCTGGGAGACTTGGGGAATGGATTCCTGGTGTCTATGCCAGTTGATAAACCTCCCGGGGAGGGAAATGAGGATGAGAAACCTGCCACCTTCAACAAGACTCTAGGTAAGGGTGGTGTGGTGGGAGTTCCAGGGGTCATGGTCAGACCATGAGAGCACAGCGAGGAGGGGGCAGAGCAAGCTCTACTTAGTGTGAGTGAGGCCAGAGAAGTCGGTGCTCAAGGAATCCAGGCAATGCAGAGTCAGAACTGACAGGCAGAGCTGTGCGGGCCAGGGTTCTGCTCCAACCAGGTAAGATGGCCCTGTCTGCTCAGGCCTTCTGGTCGGCAGAAAGGAATACATGTCTACACATCTTTTACAACGTTTTCTGGTCTACTTTTCTCGATTGCTCCAGAACTCAGGAGGATTATGGATATTTGTGACCTCCATATAGACACACATGACGGTAATTCTTGTAATTCTTAGAACGCTACCACACAGTGAACATGGCTGGTAGAGAGGGTCACCATGAAGAGTCGAGACTTTGTTCTCATAGACCCCATGTCAGTCCTTACTGCTCCCCCACTGCTTATGGCAGATCATTGGAAATGGTGGAGGTTACAGGGTCTGGCATTCATGGAAACACCTTGTCAGTTTTACGTTATATTCTGAACTTCCTAGGCCAATAGTCCGTCTACACGCTGAGCCATTTACTCCACGTGCCGACAACTCCTCTACTGTGGAGTTTGAAATACAACTCCATGTGGCGGACAACTTCTATTTTCTTCTTCACTTCCTCCCTGCAGTCCAGTTACTCACGGTGGTGTGGCAGGAACTGGACTCACAGATGAAATTCTTTGGTTCTGATTTGCTTCTGACATAAGTAACTTTGGTTATGAGAATACTTGAGAAAGCAAATTGCTCTCAGCTTTTTCACTTTTGAAAAACCGCTTAAACACTTATTTTGTGTATGTTGTGAGGGGCACAAGCCACTGAGTGTTTCTGGGGCCGGTGAGAGGACAGCCTGTAGGGTCAGGCCCTCTCCTTCCACCTGGTGGATCCCAAGGAGTCAACTCAGGTTGTTAAGTTTGGCCACGAGCCCTCCATGCGGAGTCATTTCACCCACTTAGCTTAGATTGAAAAGAAAACAAAACAACCAACCATTCCTGACCCCATTTTAAAAAAACCTGACTCTTGGACACAATATTTTTCAAAATGAAACCCTCAGATTCTCAAAAACAACCATTCTTCTTTTTCTCCTTTCCACCGCTTTTTCTTAGTTACTTTCTACTTACCACAAATACCAACTTCCCGACATTCGTCCAGGGGAAATCGTACAGCAATTGTTTCTCTTCTTCTAGATTCTGCGGGAAAAGAATGTCGGCACGTGAGGAGTTAAGAGGAAACGACAGACATCCTACAGCTGCTGACTCATCTCATAGTAAACAAGGATTCAGTAATTAAAACCTGAAAGAGTCCTCAACCCTGTATGGAGAAAGGCAGACCGTAATTGAAATGATCTGCTTCTGTGGACTGCAGTCACTGGTCCTAGGCAATTTCCCCTTTGGTCTTATCCCCAAATTTAAATAGGAAGTCCAAAAGACTCAGAGACTGGGCAACCCCAACCAAGGGAATGAGACTTCCGGATATTTTCCTGGATCAAAGATAAGACAACTTTCTATCTTCTTCTAAGAGAGCTACTTCCTCCCAGTAGTTCCTGATATAAAGCTAAAGCTCCCACCAGCAGAAGGGAGACTATGGGACATCGTGTATCAGAAAACCGTAAAAGACACAGAATCATCGGGAAGACCCGAGGAGCAAAGTTTGGATAGTGAGGCTCTGGAGACTGGGCCCGTCTTCTGCCCTGCATTTTCTCTTAAGTGGGGTGGAGCCGTTCCATCCATGACTTCCATCCACCTCTGTGCCGACACACAGGAGACAAAGGCTGAGCCTGGCAGGTTGGCACAGCATTCCCTGTAGTAAGACCCGCTCACCACCATTTGATACTCCTCCCCCTCCCCTTTACAAACCTGAAAAATCTGTATTCCCCGCATGGTCAACCCCAGGGCCAGTGAAGCTTCAACTTCCCTTTTATCCTGGGGGAACAAAATTTTATGAAAAACCGTTTTTCCTTGTATAATAAACAACTGAGTAATGAAGAAACAAAAAGATACTTTTCAGAATTACGTTTTTTGTTTTCTTAAAATAACCGCTCGAGCCGGGCGGTGGTGGCGCACGCCTATAATCCCAGCACTCGGGAGGCAGAGGCAGGCGGATCTCTGTGAGTTCGAGGCCAGCCTGGTCTACAAAGGGAGTTCCAGGACAGGCTTCAAAGCGACAGAGAAACCCTGTCTCGAAAAACCAAAAAAAAAAAAAAAAAAAAAAATAACTGCTCAAATCGTTCACATCCTTGGTTTCCTGCAAGACTTAAAATTTTGAGTATTTATTAAACCAATTATTCTCTTTATTTCCGACTCCTTAGGTTTCCAGGTCTTAGTGTTCAGCACTGTATAGGCAGCTTCTACTTCTGAGACTATTCTAAATACTAATGTCACCAAGAACTTGGACGCCAGGCGTTTCCTGCTGCCTTCCCACTTTTGATGACTGTCTCCTTCCACTCTATGCTCACTTACTGTTGGACACCACACTATTGATTCAGGGGTCTAGCTATGGTATAAGACGGATTTCACAGGTTTATAGGTTTCAAATCGGGTAAGTCTCCCAGCTCCCTATCCCTGAAGCCAAAAGGAGAGACAAGTGACAAAACACGGCTCACCCACAGAAGATTTATATTGTTCATCTGCAGATATGTGCTGATGCACACTCTACTATTAAGTGTGTATGTACAGAAACTGTAAAACTGAAGCCATTTTAACTATAAGAAAAACAATACTACAATTTAAAAATGTGCTCAGATTGGGCAAATCTTTAAGGACTTATATGTAATGAGTAAGCCATGAAGCTTTAAAAGTTGAATATTTTCTTTACAAGCTATCTCAAAAACAATAATGAATATTATCAAATCTTCAAGTTTAAAATTATTTTTAGATTTATTTTACATGTATATTTTGCCTGTGTGTGCGCATGTGCTGTGGGCTGGATGCTGGATGTGGATGGGTGTTGGATGCCTGGAACTGACGTTACAGATGCTTGTGAGGCACTGTATGGGTGGTGGGCATCTAATCCAGGTCCTCTGAAAGAGCAGCAAGTACTCCAAATAACTAAGCCATCTCCTCAGCCCCTAGATCTTTATTACGCTTAAGGCCAGTTTTCTCAGGAACACAGGAAGAAGTAGTAGAAATTACGTTCTTGCCTGAATAGAGAGAAAAAGCTGACCTGTTACTAGGTTGGATTACTTCTTCCCAGCTAAACAATTTTTATGTCAAGAAAGGCACCTGCAGGGTCAGGCTCAACAGGGCCTGCTCCAGCAGCACACAACCTCAGGTCGGTTTCCCTCCCCAGGCTGTGCCCGTGCTTCTGAAATAAGATTGGGTCCAAAGCAATACTGTGTGCATGCCTGAGGAGTGCATGGAGAAAACAGGCACCAAACCTTCAGAATGCTCCCCGTCTGATGAAGCAGATTTAATGGCTGCCATTTGAACTTTCCAGACGGGAGGTGTCTATCAGGTAGTAGTATCTCCTTCACCCTCTTCAGTTACGGCTCTGGTGAGTCTCTTTTTAAAGCAGGCAAGGCATTTTCTACACAAGGTAGAACCATATACTAAGCAAATTGCCCCCACGCATCGTCAAAAGATTAAGTTGTATATATCAATTTTACTGAAAGACTAATTTCTTATCAAGCTTCTTTAAACTAGCAAATTTCCCCAGCAAATAGGACAAAAAGCAATGGTCAATTTCTAAACACTTGCTAATGTCACAGGTGTCGCACCTTGCTATTTCAAGCCCGTTACTGCATGGCCTTCACAGGCAATAGAGTCGTTCTTACTCGACAGATGGCCCGTGACCAGTACAGCTGCCCAGGATCCCCAGGGCCTCTACCTGATACCTCATTCCAGGACCACAGTCTGTCCAATATATCATTTGTATCTCTAATGCACTTCAAAATATGAACAGATTGTCCCAGATGACACTTACTGGAATTGTCTCGTGTAAAACGGGATGTCACAAAGATGCCTCTTAGGAAAAGCGAGTCAGTCCTTTAGGAACTTAGATCGTAGGGAACTAACTCTATGGGCCTCGCTAGGATGGTGAGGTGTTACCTCTGAGAGCCAGAGCTAAGGAGGGGGATTGTGCTGAGGTCTGCAAGCAGGTGGGAAGACTACCCAGCAATACGACCAAACACCCTCCTCCGTGTGCGGGCACACACACAATGGTTCAGTTATACTGATCTCATCACAAAGGATGTGGTAGGGACAGCAAACATATCAATGAAATAGCTTGCTGAACATAATGTTTGACATGTGACAGACATTGTTTTAAACATGGTTCCCTCATCAATTCTTTTAGACTGCAGTCCTAAGGGGTAGGTATGTTCTAGTGATCCTTTAAGCCATGGGAAATCTGCAGCACAAAGATGTTAAATGCTTGCCTAGGGTCACACAGTAAAGAGCCAAACTGTGTTCAACCTCACAGTTAAGACCTACTGATCATATTTTAACAACTTCATCCCATTGGGCTTATAAAAACAACTTGAGTACTTAGAATCCAGTTCTAGTCAAAGAATAGCACTTGTAAGGATAGGGAAGATGAGTGGGGGGCAGGGAGGGAAGACAATAAGATGCTGAAGCCCGGCAGGAGTGTGTACACAGCAGAGCACTCCTCCCCACAATGCTCTGTGACTGTGTGGTCCATATCAGAAAGAAAAACAGGGCTAGGGATACACGGGCTGCAAAGGAGACTAAGGCACCGGAGCGCGGCAGTGCTTGACTTCAACACACTGTCATTGAGGAGCCCGCTGAATCCAGTCTGCTGCTTGGTTTTGCAGCCTTAGTGAATTATTTAGCTTCCTTAAGCCTCAAGTTTCCTGGCCTATAAAATGAGCACACACTTCTTGCAGAGTGGTGGGGGACTGAACGAAACAACGAGGAATACCATGCTCTGTCTGCACTGGCTGCTGTGGGGACAGTCCTGCAATTAAAGGACCTCAGCGGAGGCGAATAAAGGCTAAATAAAATCCACCAAGTGGGTTGCAAGGGTTACTCTTCAAAGCAAAAAAAGAATTACGGATTAGGGGCTGCAGAGATGGCTCAGTGGTTAAGAGCACCGAGACTCCTCTTTTGGAGGTCTTGGGTTCAACTCCCAACTGTAATGATCTGTCCTGTCCCTTTAAGAGACAAGCTCGGCCCACTCCCACACCCCTGTCCACAGAGGCAAGCTGATCTTCCTTCAGCTTCCAGACTGAGCTCCTTCCTTTTCCATCTTTCTTCCAAAGAGGCGGCTTCTCTTCTCTTCTTTCCCCCCTTCCCCCTTCTCCCCTTTCCCTTTCTCTCCATAACCCACTAAATAAATACCCACTCTCTTTGCACACCTCTGCCTCTCACCTGCTGCAACTCCTCAAGCTCTCACCCACCTTGCAGCTCCCTGCCTGGGACCCACTGTCCCTCATGGCCTGCTGCCCACTGCTGCCTCTAGGGGGATGGGGCCGTTTTATTTTTACCATTACACCAACACCCACAAGCCAGCTCACAACTGTCTGTAACTTCAGGACCCAACACCCTCCCACAGACTTACATGCCAGCTAAACATTAATGCATATAAAATAATAAATAATATAAACAAAGGGCATTAAAAACAACTACAGATTAAGCACCAAAGAGGCAGATTCCCGATCTACAGCCATCTGTTAAGGCACAGTTACAAACATTTAAGGCATCCTCCATCTTGCTTCTAGGCTGGATCAAGATGGCCTCTGGCCTGACCTGTGGAAGCCAAGGGCAAGCCAAGAGAAGCTCTTTCTACAGCTGTGCAGTGCTCAGGCGAGCTCATCCCAGGGGCGGGGCCTCAGACTCCTACCTTGTACAGCCTGTAGTAATGGATGGCAACGTCGTCCAGTCGGACGGCCTCTTTGATGTATTTCAGATGCGCCTCGGAGGCCGTCAGTGCAAACTGGTCTTTGTGCATGTTCGGAATGTGCTTCAGGATGTACTCCTTCCCCCTCTTGGAAACAACCTGTTGGAACACCGGCCCCCACAAACGGCAAAAGGATGAGGAGCTAAAACAGGCCACATAAACTGGCTGATTTCTATTAGAAAACTCTAATTTTATCCCCTTTCCACTGTCTTGTTACACTACTTGGAACTGGCTAACATTATGAGCCACAAGTCCATTTGGTAGAAGAAAAATCCCAATGGGAAAAACAGTTTCTCTTTGTTTTAACAATCACCAAAGTGGGGAAAAAAAATCCCATGCAATCTGGTGTAACTTCATACACTTCATGGATTATACTCCCAAAATGGTGGGTACCATAAAAAATGCCTACATCAGAACATCTGCAGGCTCTGGCTCCCGCTCACTCCCACGGTCACACACACACACACACACACACACACACACACACACATACACACACACACACGGAACACGAGACTGTAAACATGCGTCTGGGGAAAGTAAAGGAACAGGCAGGGTTCTTTGGAACACTTTTGATTTTCACACAAAAGGCCAGGAACTCTACTTAAAAATGCGTGAGGAAACTGTTTCAACTCAGTGTTCATTGTGATTTGTTGAGGCTCAGATTCTGATGGTGTCGAAGGCACACAGGACCCAGCAGCTGCAGGCTAACAGATGCAGAGAACGCCCTACCTGATTTCACATGGAAAGGTGGTGGCAACGTGAGCAAAAGGAAGGGCTTCAAACAGGAGTGAAAATACTCCTGAGTTTCTAGCTTTAATGTGGCTTTTCAGATATGGTGTTTGCTTCTCACTTTGGATATTTCATAAAGAATTCAAATGCTAAAGGAGAGAGGCCACTGCTGGGTGTGGTGCTGTGTGGACAGGTTTTTAATGCCAGCACTCAGGAGGAAGAGGCAGGAGGATTTCAGTGAGTGCCAAACCAGCCTGGTTTACATGGAGAGGTCCAGGAAAGCCAGGTCACACAGTGAAAGCCTGTCACAAAACACAAAACCACCAGCCAACCAGTCAAGCAAGCAAGCAAGCAAGCAAACAAACAAACAAAAAGATGAGAGGCCCAAGGTATGAAACATCACAGTAATGATGCCAACATACAGGTAAGTCACTGGCTGGGTGATGCCAGGCAGACATTCAGGTAAGTCACTAGCTGGGTGACATTAGAACACATAGTTTAAGGGGCAGGACAAGCAGCTAAGAAGAGCTGGAGGGGCAGTGGGAGCCAGATCTTGGAGTTTTGACATTTGGGAACAGGGACTTCCCACCACAGGGAACTGGGGAGTTGCTACAGGCTTGATTCTCTCAGGTACAAGCTGGGGAACACAGAAGCAAGGATAGCGCCACCCGGTGCGCTGAGATCTGGGACTCAAATGGAGGGACAGCTGAAGGGAGGGGATGCAATGGACATGGATGGGGAATAACAGTAACAAGAAGATTCGGGACTAAACAGGGTGGCAGGTGACGTCAGAGCATGCTGCTGTTGCTGGGTGGGACACGGAAGAAGCCGAGCACCAAGCAGAGCCCACGTGATGCCAGCCAGGTTTGGGGCAACCGGGTCAATGGCAATGTTCAGCACTCTATACCAGAAATATGAAGGTCGGCTACGTCTGTGGAGCTGGGGAAAGGAGCATTATGGGTGCTCTGAGTTTGCGGTACTTAGGACTGCACGGCTATGTAACAGTACTGTGTAAACATATTGAGGGGTCACCTGCATATTGTGACAGTAGTAATGAAAAGCAGTGGTCAGGATGAAATCTCCCTGGTGTAAATGGCCAACTGCCATGTGCAGTAGAAAAACTCCGCAGAAAGAGAAAAGTGTCTGCCAAATCAGCAATGTGTACAGCTGAGTGGAAGCGGGCAGGCGGAAGTGGACCAAGGTATGCACACTGGAAGGAAGAAGCTGGAAAAATCAAAAACACTTGGCCTATCTTTAGCTTTTTCAAGCTCTCCCGAGACAGGAAGCAAGCCAGGCGGCTCTGCTTTGTGGACGCAGGTGACCCACTGTTCTGTGAACACTATCTACTGCGGGAGAGTGAGCTAGAGCCAGAGCGGAGGACTCGGAAGAGAGGGCCAGGGTGGCCTGCGGGAAGAACGGCAACCCAACAGGCTAGGGAGCCTGCTGACCTACATCTACCTTTTCACTGACAGAAGAGGGTGGCTCCTTGCCTGGCAGGGAAGGACACAGAGGGCAGAGCCAAAAGTTTATTTAGATTCTTTTCTCAGCCCATTAAAACTGTGAATGACCTCATCTCTTGAGAAGCCACCATTTTTTTCCTCAAAGGGAGAAAATGCATGTCAGCAGGAGGATCCTGAGTGCCACCACCACGCACATCCGACGGGACTGTGGACACTTGCGGTCCCCAGCATCTAGGCTGGCCGGTGAGCCTCCTCAGCTATGAGCAGACTGGGAAAGACCTGCAGTATACCAAGCTCCTGTACTTGGGCATCGTGAGCAGTTTCACTGTCCCCAGAACCCGCAGGTTCATCTCTCAAAGAAGGTGGTGTACCTGAATGGGTGGACGGGGAATCCAGACAGTACCTACCCATGCCGGGAAGTAAGCCTCCGGCTCAAAGTACTTTTCACGGTGCTTATTCCTTTTGAAGTTCCCGAGATCAGCCTGGAGCGCGAAGGCCGCCAGCAGGAAGTAGGCCTCCTCTCTGAGCACGCACTGAGAGTGCAGGACTTGTTTCCTCAGGTGCCAGTAGTAATAATACCGCGCTATGCGGTCACTAGAACACAGGAAAACAGCACAAACATGTCAACAGAACCCAAATCTCACTCTGCATCTGCCGGCAGACGTCCTTGGCTTCTCTTCCCCGTACCCACGTCACCAAGGGCGGAAGGCCCAAGCTGGGACCAGATCACCACCTCAGGAGGCTGCAGGAGTCAGAAGGCCCAGATGCCAAAACACACTCTAAGGCCCACAGCCTTTGATTTGTTCAAAGAAAGGGAAGTCTGAGGAATTCCACTCCAGTAAGGCAAGGATGTCACAGAACACAGAGTGGCCATGCTGGAAGCTGGGCATTGGCAGTCTGCTCAATGTTTATTCTTTCCCTGCACATCAACGTTGTGCACACCACTCGATGGGAAGAGCCTGACAGATGCTCTTTGGATTGCTCCAAAGGCTCTACAGCTCTTTAGAATGCTTGTCGGCGAACACCACACACTAGTGGTCTGTTTCTCTCCTGTGGCTGAGGAAGAATGGACCAGAGCTTCCCTTATACCTGCCCTGTGTTACAGGAAGAGGATGCCGTCTTACAGAGTGTTTTCCCAGGCACGTCATGACAACCATGATGCTTCCCCCAAGAGGAAATACCAACAGTGCCCGTTCTGTAATCCACTCGAGCCAGAAATAAACTCAGTCTCGGCTGAGATGAGTAGAAAGCGCTGGCTGGAGTGGTGGCAGGGGTGGGTGGGTCACAGGACAGCTAGTCAGCTCTACGGAAATGCTCCTGGATAGCTTTGCAATTAAGGGAAACCATCACAGACATGCATGCTCTCAGCGAGGTCACTACTCTCCCTACTTCAGACTGTTTTCCTGAGGTCATGGCTCATCGGCAGGTAACAGAGCATAATGGTCTATTTTAACTAAGACCAAGGCTAAGAATACAGAGCTTGGAAAGGAAGCATCCATGGCATTCCTTCCCACAGACAGGGCACCTTTCGGTGTTGCCTTTGATGACACCGGTTACATGCTGTCGGTAGGGTGCTGAGAACCCAGCCTGCCTCCATCTTCTAGTGAGGACAAACTAGGTTTATTCCTGTTTATGATTAAACCTCTATTTCTCAGGGATGGGGTGGGTTATACCCCACCTGTAACCTTAACTACAAATGGTTCTGTGTTGCCTGTTCCAGGAATGGCAATCATGTCTTTGTTCTAAAAAGTTGTTTATAACCAACTTACTCCCCTCCCTTTGTTTCAAAAGGTTGCAGGGCCATCTATGACTACCTCGCTATGACTACCTGTTGTCATGACAACCATGTTATTGTTTCAGGTGGCCGTCAGGACTCACTTGCTGTGCTTATGTTCTGCTCCTGTAACCCCGCCTATTTTGCCTGCAAATCCCCCATCTGGAAACCCCCTACCCTGAGCTACAGAAGCCTTGTCTTCCTCACATCCAATGCTGACCCCTCAAACTCCGACTTAGGGAAGGCAGCCCGTGTAGATGGATAAAAAAGCTTGCTTTAATTAATTTGGTCAGGATGATTTGGGTCTGTGGTCTTTCTCCTCCCCTCTTTGGGGTTAATAGTGGGGGTAGGGGCACACAGAAGTCAAGGGTTAACATTCGTTAGCCCTGTGGGGTTTACTAGTGGCCAAGCACTTTGTTTTCCTTCCTTGCAGGGCATTCCATATAACCACGTAAAGTGGGTGAGCACATCACACAACAGGCAAACCAGTGAGGTTTCTAGTCTCTAGAAACAGTCTGGGTATTAGTACCTCTTACTCTTCCTTTGCAGCTGATAATAACAGGAAAAAATTAAGTGCTAATTTTTCACATTACATTGGCCCAGCATCCTTCAAGGTAAAGGAAGACAAGTTCTTATTTCTTGTGGTTTCTGTCGGCCAAATATGCGATCTCTTCACGTTCTCTAACATTGAATCCCACACCAAAGAAAGAGATTCAGAACCAGTAAATTCTGACTCACATCATGGTGCAGATCACACATCCACCTCTGAGAAGAAGAACCCTGTTCCCCGCCCCTCAGAGTGTACCCTCGAATTCCACAGGAAGCGCCTCGAGGTTCGCTCTTAGCTTCTGAACCACTGGCTAAGAGTGCAAATAAGACCTCAAGTGAAAACCAAGTGACCCCTAAAACTCAGTGGCTTGAGAGTTTGAGGCCCTGTCCCGCCTGGAAAAGAATATAATTGCCACATGCCTTTAATCCCAGCACTCAGGAATCAGAGGCAGGTGGATCTCTGTGAGTTTGAGGCCAACCTGGTCTACATAGTGAGTTCTAGGACAGCCAGGGCTATTCAGAAAAACCGTATCTCAAAACAAACAAACAAACACCCCAAAACAACCAAAACAAACAAACAAATAAGAACAGACTCATATTTAACGAGTCTCTTTACAACAGTGACAGTTCCTTCTTGGGGACTGTGAGTGGAAATGTGAGCCAGTGATATTAACATTGTCACCTTTAGTCTATGATTTACTTAGCCCACAAACACTTGTTCGGCAACAAATGTACCCTGTGTTTAGGCACCGAGAACACACGAATGTGCAAAGACAAGCAAGCGAACAGACTGCTGCTGTTGTAGACTTCTCCCAGCGGGAGAAGAAAGCAAAGAACACCATGATGTATCCGGTGTGTATCAGGGAAGCGTGCTGTGGAGGAGACCAAGGCCCAGGCTCACGACTGCTTCATCTTCATACCTGATCAGTTTTCCATTCTCCACATAGTACTGCACCCGGAAATGGATGATCATGGGAGGCCCGAACTGGTCGATGCCCTAAGACGGAGACATGGGCAGTGAGCTGTGTGTAGTTACCTCCACCATGGGCCTCAAAGGCAATCACACTGGCATCGCTCGCAAAGCACATTCCCCTGCACAGAGAGGTTTTATATGCTTGGAATGTGGAGCTTGTAGTAGGCACTGTTGTCCCATGCAGACACCAGGTCCACATCCAACCAGAAAGTTACAAGGCGAAACAGGGCACCCTCCTTCTTTGGATTCTCATCCGTGGTGATGCCAATGGGAACATAAGGGAAGATAAAAATAAACACCATGGAAATTTCTAGCTGAGATCCGGCTTCTGGCCCAGCTCTGTCCCCTGTGGTGACCATTTGCTCCCTATTACAAGTGCTCTCTTGTTCCCTCAGCATTCCACACGCCACATTCTAATATGCTGCTTGTTTACTTAAACGTTGGAGTGTTTTACTCTGTGGCTGGCTTTGAAGTCCGCCTTCCAGTGCAGCCCAAGAATCCTACACTGCTACGGGAGAATCTGGATTAGAAGTGCGATTTCATTCCTGACTCACCAGGGTGATGGGGAAACCACACAGCCCCCCTGTGCCTGCTCCCTCGCTCAGATGGAACTGATGTTTACTACATAAAGACGCCAGCACAGTAAAACCACAAAGGCCTGAATGCAAGAACTCTAAGAAGGCAAATTTAAAATTACTAAAGACTCCAGCAAGTTTTGACAACACTGTCACAGGAGAAAAGCAAATACTTTCTCATGCTTTTCACCCCAGACATTCCCCAAGATTACTAAAACATTACTACCAATAGGTAGTTTACGCTGTCAGGTATTCACACCTGAGCCACAAGACGTTTCAGCACCTAGAAGTCATTTCCTTTCCTCATTCTCCACTGGAGAAGTTGCTGCTTAAGACTTTTCCTAACGTGACAGCTAAAATAAACAGCTTTAAAGAATAAAAAGAAGTTTGCGCATAAATGCAATCTCACCCAAGTGACTTCGTATTGTCGTACCTTGCTGGCCTCTTTTTTCCATTCTTTTGGACAATACTTATAAAGCTTTTGTGACAACTCCATATATACGTGTTCATTATCTGCACATTAAAAAAAAAAAAAGACAAGATGCTAAAGAGAAAAAAATCTGTTTCAAAGAAAAAATATGCAAAGTGACAGTTCAATAAATACAGCCTCATGATCTATGAATAAAATGTGAACCAGGAAAACTCAAGACACAAAAAAATCCAAGGTGTATTAGCTAGACATTAATGAGGTTATGAATTCTCTTGCTTCTGCAACACAGAACTCAAGATTCTAGAACATGTAATGCTCAGAAGAACTGGGGCTTCTAACTCTCCCTGTGCTTAGCTTCCAGAATCTGCAGACAGCATCCAGCACCCACTCCCGTGGACATGCATCTTAGAAAACACACTTTGGTTCGGTGTACAGAACACGCTTCTCATAAATGCAAAACACTGATCCAGCGGCAGCACCAGACCAACCTCTGTGAGACACTAAACATTGATGATAGCTCACTTCCAAGAGTGGGCATGACACCTGCTTTGTGAAGAGCTGGCTTTAAAAACATCCATTTTCCGTGTTCCCACGCCAGAGCACAGCTTGCCAGAATGACAAACCACTACTGGCTCTGCCTTTGGGATCTATCCTATCAGAAAAGCTCTGCAAAAACCAAGAGTTAACACCAAACAATCCCTCGAGGAGGTGACTTGCTGTTAGAGTGAACAGAAAATATGCCCACTGGAACTTATGAGAGATGAGTGAGTGTAAAAAACAAGCTGGAAGATGCCATTAGGACAGTTATGCTACTCTGGCTACAAATGGGCTCTTCAGTCCTCTTAACATGAAAGAAGGGATGAGACACCCCAAAGAGGAAAGACAGGAGGTGCTGCTTAACCCAATTAGCAGGTCAGTGAGTGCTGCCACCTTGCCTCATAGCTCATGCATATTTTCATTTTATATATTGTCGAAAATAATTTTTTAGACAATATATTCAGATCATGGTTTCCTTTCTCCCATTCCCTTCCACATCCTCCCCATTTCCCCTCTCAGCCAACTCCATGCCTTCTCTCTTTAGGAAACAAGCAGGCAAATAAAGCAAACCAAAACATTTAAAAACAAAACAAAGAAAAAACAAAAGAAATACAGACACATAATCTATAAAAATACAAAATCAGAAACTGTAAGATACAAGCAAAAGGCCAGTAAAGATTAAAAAAAAAAAAAAGGCCCAAACAAAGCACTAGGAGACAAAATGTTTGCAAAAAAGTGTCCGTTTTGTGTACTGAGTTTGTTTTGTACTGGCCATCTACTGCCAGACATGGGGCCTGCCCTTGAGTGTGGGTTGTTTCCCCAGTGAGACTCCACAGGACAAACTCATTTTTCCTCTGTGAGTGGTTGTTAATTAGAGATGCTTCTTGGTTAGGCATGGGAACCACTTCCCCCTCTTGGGGCTGAGACTCCATTTGGCTTAGATTTATTTGCACAGGCCCCGTGTATGCTGCCAGAGTCTCTGAGTTCATGAGCACATGCATATTTTAAAATTATCTTTATGTGTCTATCACTTGACAGTGTGACCAGCTCTGTCTGGCTTAAAAACTCTGGGTATCTGAACACAGGGAAACTGGTATCCAATGAGAGCAGATGGGTGTCCCCTCCCTATAACCTGCCCTAGTAGCTGTGCCTCTGCAGCATCCTTTATGGCACAGTCCTAAATGCCTGAGCAATAACCCAGGTTTCACACTGTCCAAGGGAAAGAAGAAGGGGTAGGAAGAATCTCATGGAACTAGATTATAATAAGGGTTAATATGAGCTCATGAATATCAAGGAACGCATGTGGAGAAATTTTTGCCAAAAGCTAATATCACCATTAAAGCATAAGTAACTATTGTGTGTCTCATGATACTGTATACTGAGATGGGCTTGTTATCATTTATCTGATATTCCCACCCAAATCAGGCATAACCTGAATTAATCATGAAGAAACATGAACCAAATCAAATCAAAAGATATTACACAAAGTAACTTGTCTCTTCTCTTAAAAGAAAAAGCAAAGATCCCAAGGAGGGGTGATAGAATGGCTGAAGAACAGACCTGAGCCAGGCTACCATAGTCCCTGGACTACGATGGCCATTTCCAGGCCCCTCGGCATCAGTGTGCAGACTTCCTGACAATGAAGTTCCCACCACGGTTATGTAAGAGATGTTGGAAAGATGGGAAACAGGTAGATCACAGATGGAGAAGACATGCACTCTGGTGTTAACACCTGAGGACATCTCTATCATCTTCTTACATTGCTGGAAGTTCGAAATTATTTTAAAATGAAAGTTGCAGAACTGGGATGACATTAGGGTTCCTCGTGCTCAGATTCCCCCTTGGACAGCTTTCGAGAAGAGTGCTGGAATGGCTGGATTTGAAAATGCCAGTGTCTGAATTACTTGAGAATTAAATTCTTTCCAACTACTCAACGGACAAGGAGAATTTCAGCTGAGAATCCACAATGGTGTGAGTGGCTTGGGGCAGTGACAGTCATCCTGCACACCGTGACCACATGCCATACATCCATGTAAAGCCGTGGGATACAAACACCCGAGTGAACCCGGAGACAGATGATGGACTCGGGGTGGGTTCACTGGTCACCACACCAGGGTTGGGGCTGACAGTGGGGAAGCTGTGCCTGCAGGTGCCTGGCTTTCTGGAACTCTCTAGACTCCCTGCTCAACTGGGCTGGGAGTCCAAAACCATACCAATCAAACAAAACCTGTGAGACAAATTCTCAAGCACACTTCCAATTTCTATCTGATGTGAAACAACCTGACAATGAGGAAGCCTGGTGGCCTGTCTGCAGGTTCGCTGCTAGCCAGCGGTAGAGCCAGAATCAGAACCTGGTCACCCGGCTGAGGTTCCGACGCTTTCACTACACTGCAAATTCTCTTCTATAGAGCATCTCAAACACTCCCCTTGGATATGGAAGGAAGCTAGGAACTGGTTTCCTTGGACCGACTTGTTGAACCACAGAGATCAACAGTCTGGCCGCAGGTGCAAAAGGAAGAATTAGCCTTGAGGAGACCACAGGAAGAGCCGCTTGGAGTCTGTAAGGCATCTTATTGCTTTTAGACCAGTGGTTCTCAACCCATGGGCTGCGACCCCTTTGGGGGTCTAACAACCCTTTCACAGGGGGCTGCCTAAGACCATCAGAAAACACAGATACTTACATTAAAATTCATTAACAATAGCAAAATCACAGTTATGAAGTAGCAACCAAATAATTTTATGATTGGGGTCACCAAACATGAGGAACTGTATTAAAGGGTCACAGTACTAGGAAGGTTGAGAAGCACTGTTTAGACCCTTCCTAGAAAGATGACGGCGGTCTGCACAGACACAGTTATGGATGGAGCTTAGCCTAGGGCCCTCTGTAGTCTCCATCCCATGTTCCTAGACAACTGAGCACAGTTCCCATTCAGAGGAAGGGAGCTGGCTTTATCTGCTGACCACAGTACGTTCTCGAACTCGGCAGATGTGAATATTCACAGCGCAGTCCAGCTTCTCAAGCTAACATAATCAGTTTAGATTTAAACTGATTCAAGTAAATATCCACATAAACATAGAAAGCATAATTAAATACAAGTAAATCTCCTTGAAAAAGATGAGCAGAGATGCTAAAAGACTCTGGAATTCAGAAAACTAACACAGAGGAATTTCCAGATACAAACCGACATGGGACAGCTTTTATCAATCGGATGCAGGTGGTCCCAAGAGCCTAGAGCTAAGTAAAGCACACGAGACGGGCAATGCGTCTATGAAATCAAATTTTTCATGTAATGGAGGAAGAAAATGACTGTGTTTCAAAGTCACACAGCCTGACCAGAAAAAGAGAAGAGCACAAAGAAAACCAGAAAATAAAATTCAATGAATCATCTGTTACATTGCTAACCAGGAATCTAAACAGAAGAAAGGCAGTCTTACTGAGCTCAACATTTTTGTGATGCTACAAGCCATTATCACTTACAGTTATTAGAGATCGTAATGATAACTGACAAGAACATCTACTTTCCTCCCAGCTACAGCTGGTCTGTGTACAAGAAAACTAAACAAAAATCAAACTTGGTTCGCTAAAACAAAACAAAATAGGGAACAGATATATGAGCATCTAGATTCCTAAAAAGGAATCGCTATTAAGTTCAAAATGTAATAAATATAATAAAAATCCCGACTCATATAAAAAGTACATCATGCTGATATTGGAAAATAAATACCAGATTAAGAATGAAGATTAGTTGATGGGTATCTGACAATCAGGTTACACAGCATGGTGGCTTTAGGGTTTACAATGTCATTTCCTCGGGCATACTTGGCTGACAGAGAACAAACTGAGACTTACTTTGTATAACACTGAGACCAAAGAGGTGACAGTCCTTTAACCTGAGCAGGTCACACACCTGGACCAGCAACTCATGACAGAGAATTTTAACCTGTAAAAGGGAAGAGAAAAGACACTTGAGATAGTCAAATTCGGCCCCCAGTGAGCCACAATCAGCCACTTTCCAACAGGACTTGCTCACATCAGCACCGCCGGCTTATCACTGCAACCTGTGGCTGTGTGTCAACCGTTATCACTCTTCACAGCGCTAACAGAGCACCAACACAATCTTTCACAGGACTCATAATCTCAGGACAAATGGGCCCTTCAGAGGTCCCTTAGAGGAGCTCGCTCCACTACACGCATTTATGTTTGCTCTCTCAACATTTTTTCTTACTTTAATGGATATGCTTTTACATAGTATTCAATGTTGTGATATATGTATACCCTACAGAATGGATTAACCAATGCATTGCTTCACATACCTATTATTTTTTGGTGTGTAGTTAAGATCTGCTCTCAGTCAGCACAAGACTAGTTACAATTGCCATTCTACATAGGTTTCCTGAACTGATTCATCCTGCAGATGAAACTTTGGATCCTTTGACCAACACCTCCCCGCCTTGACTACTTCAGGCCCTGGTACCTACAGTAACTGCCTTACACTCTGTTTCTATGAGGTAGCCTTTTTTGGATTCCACACAAATGAAACTATGCAGTCTGTACCTGGCTTATGACATTTAGTATAATGTTCTTCGGAATTACCCATATTGTTGTAAATGACAAGCTCTCTCTCCTGGTGTGGCTTATTACTTGAGCCTGTGTGGACACACTACACTTGGTCTCTTCAGTCATCAGTGGGCACAGCTGACGGCCCTGAACAAGGCTAGGGACTGTCAGAGTGCAGGTGCATTTCCGCCATGGTGACCTCATTTCCTCTGGATGCCCAGGAGTGGCCCTCCAAGATCACAGGCTCGTGCTATGCCCAGGAGTGGCCCTCCGAGATCACAGGCTCGTGCTGTATTTAACGCTCTGAGTAACCACATGCTAGCTGCCACAAGGGTCACGCTGCTTCATTCTGATCACAGATGACACATGCTCCTCTCTTCTACGTCCTTGGCACTCTGTTTGGTGACAGTCATTTTAACAGCTGTAAGTTTCAATTTGTTCTCTTGATGCTGAGGCTGAGCTCCTTGGTGGACACCCATCAGCCACTTGTCTATCTTCCCACGAGAAACGGTTCTGCAGGGCATCTTTGCTCAAGGAAGTTTTCTTCTTAAAGGTCTAAGCAAAGTATTCACCCACTGCACAATGACAGCGTGCCAGATTTTGTTTATTTTAATCAATCACTTTTATTACTTACTTTCCCTTTCTGAGTCTTAGCATAACTCAATCACACTAACATTCTGAGGATGAGCTATTACTAATTGAGAAGGCATCACTTGTGTGTGTGTGTGTGTGTCTAGATCCATGTATTTGTATTTGTGAAGTGTGCGTGTGTGTGTGTGTGTGTGTGTGTGTGTGCGTGTGTGAGAGACGGGGGTGGGGGGACAACCTTGGGTGTCAGTCCGCACCTTTCACCTTGTCTAGGGGGTCTCTTTGCTCGTGGTCCTCTGTGTCCACTTCTCCACCTCCCATCCCCCTGCTTGAGCTGCTAAGTCAGGCTTTTAATTGGGTTCTGGGGATTCAAACTCAGGTCCTCAAGTTTGCACAGCAAGCGCTTTTAACCCTGAGAGTCAAATCCCCAGCCCCCAGACACAGATTTGATGCTTTCTCTATTGTGAGGGAGCTGTCAGGTGACAGTGCCCTGAGTGTCCAGAGTCAGCCGCACTGCACCCAGAGTCACCTAAAAGACAACCCAGCTCCATCTCTTCACCTCACAGAAGTAGAAAACGAAACTGTTCAGTCATGTAAGGAACTAGTGACAAAGGCAGGCCCTCACAACTTACGAGTGTCAAAGGTTGCACACGGGTTAAAATGTGCAACACAACCTTGGTGATTTCGATCTATGTACGGTCATGACGACACCAGTCATGTTTTTATACAGGACTAAAATTAAGAAAATGAAAATTATGCAAAATTCCACTGGAAAGAGCTGAAGACACTGAAGGCCACAGGGACCTGTCGAATTCTCCAAGCCCCAGGGACTGAAGAAAGCTGTGGTGGCTTTAGGGACTTCTTGCCACTGTGACAAAATAGTTGACAAGCAAGTGAGGAGGAAGGGCGCATCCTGGGCACCTGAGGAGGAAGAACGCCTTGTGTTCTGGCTTACAAGGAGCGGCATTCCATTGCTGTGGGAGGGTGGGGTGTGGTGGGTGCAAGAGCTTGAGGTGGGGTCACGAGGCACCCAGTCAGCAGAGAAGGGAATGCTGCTGCTCACTCTGTCAATCTTACTCAGTCTGGGATCCCAGGGCATGGTGGTCACCCACATTTAGGATGTGTCTTCCTGTATCTGGGAACCTGACCCAGAGACTCCCTCACAGCCATGCTGTGAAGTTTCTAGACCCTGTCATGGTGACAATAAAGATGAGCTGTCACAGGTAGTGTCCCTTTATATGCAGGATTCGATTCCCAGCAAGCTCTAGGGTACCTCCACTGTGGTCCCCTAGAGACCACCCCCTCAGTTACCCCCACGGACACTCTCGCTTATGAACGTGCCATCCAGCGATATTGTAAACACATTTGCCTGAATGGGTCTGTGTACCCATGTGTAGAGTGCCCTCTGAGGCCAGAAAAGAGCATTGGGTCCCCTGGACCTGATGAGTTCTCCCCTGGGCCCTCTGGAGGAGCAGCCTGTGCCTCTAGCTGCGGAGCCAGCACCCAGCTCAAGTTCACCTCACCAAGAAGACCCACTGCCGCCCCCTTCCCCATCCCGTGCTAGCTCTATCCACCAGCTTGGTGTACTTGACTTGTGTCCTAGAGAAGTTGGACTAATTTCCGACACTCACTGTAAACACTGAATTTGTATTTCATGCCGTAACTATACTGCCGCAAAGAAGCTTGAACAGACTGACAGGAGGAAAAAGGGCCACAATGACAGACAACTCTTACCCCGAGCTCCATAAACTCGAAACTTACTTCAAATGTCGCACTGCTCTGGGGCACTTTTAACCCTTAGCTTGGGCTGTTTAAACTTTGGTTGGCTTGGCTGGATATGGAGCAGCCAGGGTGAAATGGGACAAGCAAGCAGCCGAATTCCAAATTCCAAACCCAATGTTTGTAAAATGAAGTATGTGGTGAATCTTGACTAAATAAGGCCGTGCGCCTCTCTTCCAGGCATCCTATCTAGTTAATACTGTCCCGCTACTTAAATCAAGTGTCTGGAGCCTTCTGCTGAAGCGCTCTAACAGTCATCAAGTAAGTGCAGTGTGCTTGTTTAAAAACTATAATTAAATAAGGAGGCGGCTTGAAAGGGTCACCTGCTGTGAAAGCAATCTCCAGCCTTGGGTGTGTGCAGAGCACAGTCTTTCTAAAGCCACACGGCTGACTGTGAAGTTTTGTAATTCTTCTCGTCTTCAGGGGCAATGGGAACTTTAGAAGCACTACGCTCTCGACAGCGTGGGCTTTACCTAAAAATACCCTCCATACGGAACTTTGAAGCGGAAGGGGGTTTGATCCTCGCTGTGCCAATGGTGTGTTACCATGCAAGGATATCTGAACTGTTCTCTGGAAAGAAAGAATTGTTCGCTTTGCCACAGGAAGGGAGGTATAAGCTTCTCGCTCTGTGATTTCTGCCACCTTAAAAACTTTCCGCCTCTTATATTCACCATAATTTTATTGTTTAAGTTTCTATGTTTTATATTCATTTGGTGATTAAGATGATTTAAAATAGCCCCTGCTAATACAATTCATGGATATTCAAAATGATTAAAACATTAAATTGATTCCACATGCAGAAAGCCAATATGAAGTCACCTATACCTGAAAGGGGAAAAACTCTCACTGCTAGGGGTGGGCACCGATAAACTTTTTTTTTTACTACAATTAATTTGTTACACCCAACTATGTAAACATCAAAATCACCCTTCTCAGCTGTGGGGAAAGGGGTTCTGGGCACTCTGGCCTGTTCTTCTAGCAGTGGGTAAGGCTCCAGGGTACCCCATCCTTCCTGAGGTCCCAGGGCTTGCTGGAGGGGAGCCCTGGCATGGCAGAGTGCCCTAAAGAAATGAATGAACAGCACAAGGATCTAGACAAGGGCAATGTCACTCCATAACGACAGACTCACTGAGCGACTCTGAGGACAGACACTAACGTGCTCTACATACAGTGTCTTTAAATCCTTGCCATGTTTCCGCACGAGGCCTAGAACAGCCAGCCCCTCTTCATGTATGAGGAAAACAAACCAAATCATGAACAACAGACTTAAGAATCATGCCGAAGACTGCAAAGAAAGCCAGGGAATAGACAGTTCAGACAAGGTCCCTGGTGTCAATGGCCTCAGGAAGTGAGGGGCTGGGCCACAGGCTCTTCTGCCTGCTTAGGACTTCAGCCATCTGTGTCCTGCCCTAGACATACACCAGCATCTCCATGGGTGAAGCCCACAGAGCTGAGCCCCTCCCCCAACAATTCTAGGGGACAGTCAAGATTTAAAGCCACTGATCTACATAGCAGCAGCTATGGGGAAAACTAACTCACAGCACCACATTAAGGTAACTTTTGCTTAATTCTATTAGACAGCAATTAGATGAAAGAAAAAATATGGAGGTTGACAGTAGAAAGAGGCATTTAAAAAATGCTAGGTATGATACCATAAGACATGCCATGAGTCTGCCCGTCGTCTGTCAGTCTGTTCTCCAAGAGTATTTCCCTCAGTGACTGGAGACTCCGGTGTCAGCAAACGCCTTTAGAAACTGCAGTCATCTCAGTGTTCCTCACCATGACAGATCTGGTACGCCTTTCCCCATCCTGTACTAGTCACAGGCTCAGCAACATGGATGCACCCTTAACCGGGCAAAATGACAGGAAAGAGGCAGAGGAGTTTCCTCAATGCTTATGCTGTATGTCCTGGATTGTGTGTGCTTAAAAAATCCAAAGGACACATTGAGCGTGTGTGTGTGTGTGTGTGTGTGTGTGTGTGTGTGTGAATGAGACTTCACACAGCAGATCTACGGTAGAGTTTTACTTTTCATTTCCATTTATGTTGCTGATACCCACACTGACATGTTTTCAATTTTCATCAGGTTCTAGAAATCAAGTGCTGCGAAGAGAACAGTCCAGCACTCTGCGCTCTGCACTCTGCCCTGTGCACTCTGCGCTCTGCACTCTGCCCTGTGCGCTCTGCACTCTGCACTCTGCACTCTGCGCTCTGCACTCTGAGCTCTGCACTCTGCGCTCTGCACTCTGCCCTGTGCACTGTGCACTCTGCGCTCTGCACTCTGAGCTCTGCACTCTGCGCTCTGCACTCTGAGCTCTGCACTCTGCGCTCTGCACTCTGCCCTGTGCACTGTGCACTCTGCGCTCTGCACTCTGAGCTCTGCACTCTGTGCTCTGCACTCTGAGCTCTGCACTCTGCGCTCTGCACTCTGAGCTCTGCACTCTGCGCTCTGCACTCTGCCCTGTGCACTGTGCACTCTGCACTCTGCCCTGTGCGCTCTGCACTCTGAGCTCTGCACTCTGCGCTCTGCACTCTGCCCTGTGCACTGTGCACTCTGCGCTCTGCACTCTGAGCTCTGCACTCTGCGCTCTGCACTCTGAGCTCTGCACTCTGCGCTCTGCACTCTGAGCTCTGCACTCTGCGCTCTGCACTCTGCCCTGTGCACTGTGCACTCTGCGCTCTGCACTCTGAGCTCTGCACTCTGCGCTCTGCACTCTGAGCTCTGCACTCTGCGCTCTGCACTCTGAGCTCTGCACTCTGCGCTCTGCACTCTGCCCTGTGCACTGTGCACTCTGCGCTCTGCACTCTGAGCTCTGCACTCTGCGCTCTGCACTCTGAGCTCTGCACTCTGCGCTCTGCACTCTGCCCTGTGCACTGTGCACTCTGCGCTCTGCACTCTGAGCTCTGCACTCTGTGCTCTGCACTCTGAGCTCTGCACTCTGCGCTCTGCACTCTGAGCTCTGCACTCTGCGCTCTGCACTCTGCCCTGTGCACTGTGCACTGTGCACTCTGCCCTGTGCGCTCTGCACTCTGCCCTGTGCGCTCTGCACTCTGAGCTCTGCACTCTGCGCTCTGCACTCTGCCCTGTGCACTGTGCACTCTGCGCTCTGCACTCTGAGCTCTGCACTCTGCACTCTGCACTCTGAGCTCTGCACTCTGCGCTCTGCACTCTGAGCTCTGCACTCTGCGCTCTGCACTCTGCCCTGTGCACTGTGCACTCTGCGCTCTGCACTCTGAGCTCTGCACTCTGCGCTCTGCACTCTGAGCTCTGCACTCTGCGCTCTGCACTCTGCCCTGTGCACTGTGCACTCTGCGCTCTGCACTCTGAGCTCTGCACTCTGTGCTCTGCACTCTGAGCTCTGCACTCTGCGCTCTGCACTCTGAGCTCTGCACTCTGCGCTCTGCACTCTGCCCTGTGCACTGTGCACTCTGCGCTCTGCACTCTGAGCTCTGCGCTCTGCCCTGTGCACTCTGCGCTCTGCACTCTGCCCTGTGCGCTCTGCACTCTGCCCTGTGCGCTCTGCGCTCTGCACTCTGCGCTCTGCACTCTGAGCTCTGCACTCGGCGCTCTGCACTCTGCCCTGTGCACTGTGCACTCTGCGCTCTGCACTCTGAGCTCTGCACTCTGTGCTCTGCACTACCAAAATCAACTTCAAGTCCCCCAATCTGCCCGGAAGACAGTAAAACCCGCCTGGGAGGCAGGTTTGATGCTCCAAAATGCAAACGAGCAGAAACCAGGCGGCAAGGGAAAATCAGGAAACTGTTGGCTGCTTGAGGAAGACCAAGATGTCTACGGATACAGGCAGAACCTTGCTGCAGTCTAAGCTTTTAATCAGGTTATTTCAATGTCGTATCTGCTCTGCATAACCATCCCATTATACAGAAATTATTATTAAAACTACATAGCATACCAGCAGGAAACTAATTCAAGGGGTGACAGTTAGGACAAGTTTTTCTTAGTTCCATCAGAATGCAGTTAAGGGAAAGAAACAATATGAAAATTGATAGGTCTGGGCATGGCGGCCCACGCCTTTAGCTCCAGCACTTGGAAGGCAGAGGTGGGCAGATCTCTGTGGGATCGAGGCTAGCCTGGTCTACATAGTTTTTTTCAGGCCACCCTGGCCTACTTTGTGAAGTCCTGTCTCAAAACAAAAACAAACAAACAAACAAACAAACAGGTTGATAGGTACAAAATCGACTGCCATGAATCCGCCTGGCAGTTCCTGCCCAGGGTGCTCGCTGTCTCGCGGTGGTGGTCTGCGATTCACACATCTACTCTGACAAGTGTGTGTCTGTGTTTGTGGGGCTATCCCGAAATGCTCACAGCAGCTTCCTTCATATTAGTCTGGAACATCAAATGACACACCATCCGTCAGCCACAGTGAGTGAGTGAGTAACTAAATGGGGCACGGCCACACTGCTGAAATATTCTTATAATGAAAACAAACACTGCTGTGTCATTTTCATGGGCCAGATGCTGAGTGAGAAGTATCGGAGACGAGAAGAACACATCACATCACTCCTGTGGCAGGAGCCGACGACAACGGATTACTGTCATGAAGCGTCTCCTCAGAAAGATGGAAATTAGTATCTTAGGTTGGGCAATGGTTACATGGCTGTATACACTAACAGTGTATGTACTGGGGTGCACATTTAAAAGAGTTTTACGCTTTGCAATGTGTAAATTGTAATTTAACTGTTAAAAGTTAAAAGGAGAAAACTAAAAATAGTATCCCAGTCCTCAATGTCCTGGTTAACCAAGTATCTGAATCTGACTTAAGAGCCCGTGGGTAGCATCTCAGCTTACCCACGGCCCTTCAGCTCATCTGGGATATTGCTTAGGCTGACTGATCAAACCAGTCAAGACACAGATGAGAAACTTAGCAACGGCTACCATTTTATGACATGGGCGGCAACTCTGAGCATTTAAACCACAAACAGGGGCTATATAGATGGTTCAAGTGATTAAGAGCACTGACTGCTCTTCCAGAGGGCCTGGGTTCAATTCCAGCACCCACAGGGCAGCTCACAACTGTCCATAACTCCATTTCCAGGGCACCTGACACCCATGGCAAAACACCAATGCACATAAAGTAAAAAAATTTTAAAAAACTCACAAATGGACAGACTTAAACAGAAAGTTTATTCAGAAAGCCAAGCAATTTTAGAAGCAAAAACCAAGGCTCAAAAGTGTTCAGCTTTGGGCTTCCTTACTCCATCTATAGTCTCTGGCCTCGGACTCGTTGCATTAAATCTTAGCTAAGAAAGAGACTCCCACACAGCAGGAAGAGCAAAAGGAATCCTTCCTAGTACAGAAACTAGGAGCAGAGGAAGCCAAAGAAGAAGCTGAGTCTGACGGCGGGATCTGAGGGGGTCCTGTCGCTCAGCAATATTGGGGGCATTCCCTAGACCTGAGTGGAAAAGGGAAGGTATTCCAAAGGACCCCAGATGGATCCACGGCTGAACACACAGAAAGATAAAGAAATAGAGAAATTCAATAAGTTAATTCAACTGAAAAATTATTCAATAAAGTTTAAACACAGAAACTTTTTTTATTTTAAGCGTAGTACCCAAACTCCTAATTTTACCCCACTAAGACTGCTGAAGGTAGCTGTGCTGAACGGAGCCAGAATGCTGCTTCCAGCCGTGTGGATGCCTAGGAGGATGTCTGCCACATTATCTTTGGTTCACTCTCTGATGACTTTGCCCTGAACTACCTGATGTGGGTGTGGTCTGGCAGGGGAACAGCCCATCAAAACGCTCCTAGAGGAGACCTACTCACGTTTATGATGATGTTCAGGGACTCATCATTGGGAAGGAAGATACACACGCTACGCCGGTCCTGCATGACTCTGTTGTTATGGAAGGTCAGTTTGTTCATTGTGTTGTGGGCTCTCCAGTGGGCAGGCTGGGCGCACCGAGTGCTCAGCAGTTGCTCCAAAGCCAGCTTCTCCTCATCCTCATATGGCCAACAGGAGAAGCATCGTGGTACCCCACTATGTAGGTTTCATAGCTAGAGAAAGTCCACAGGGAGGCCTGTGAAGAAAGGGGGCAGTCTGGTCAGTGGAGAGGCAGGCAGGAGAGCACACAGCTATTTGTCAGGCGCAGGGGAGCAGACTGCTGTACCCGGGACACGAGACGGCACAGACACACTCTGCCCCTTAACACCCATCTCCACACTCCATTCTCAGACATCAGTTAATAGACACAGTGAGAGCCTGGACAGTCACAGACGGCCAAGCACCACAGACTCAAGGCGATGGATCCCGACTGACGAGTTCCCAGTCTCTCAGGGGAGATGAAGGGGTTCTGGAGTGAATGCAAGGATGGCATCAACAGAAGCCTCTCTTCCGGGGTATGGAACACAGATGGATCCCTGGCCTCTACCACATTCCTTAATTTCACCAGCTGGTTCTTCGAAGGGAGCCCTGGCTGCTGGACCACCCACGGGGTCCACGGGAGCAGCAGTAGCCACTGGAGCTGATTTCTCCATGGCATCCTCCAGGGTTATTGAGTTCTCCTTGTTTTTTATGTCCTGCTTTCTCCTGGTTCTCTAACTAGCTAATGAAAAATTAATTCATTAGTTCATCAATCAAATAATATAGCAATACTCATGCTGTATTACCAAGCCAGGTATACATGTAAAAAGAACTATGGGTCTTAGAAACCTCTCGTGTTTTGTCAGTTTACTAAACATTAAGTTGGCCCCCTGCTCCCCGAAGTTTTAAAGTATGTAACTTTGCTTGTAAGTAACGAAACTTTTATATCTCTGGTCTTCAGTAATTTCACCCTTCATTTCTGTTTTTCTGCCTCCTGATATTGTAAAAGCCTGCAGAGTGATTGTCAAGCACTGGGGTCTTTTTCCTGCTCTCGAGGACGGCTTTGTATGTTGCTGCTAACAGGACATTACTCAACCGCGGTGTGTTGAGACCAGCTGTCTCTGTGCCATGGTATTTACAGTACTCCTTGGCAGCTGTATTTGCAGGGTGCGAGAAAGCAAGCCCAGGAATGCGAAGCTGATTTCCAAGGCAGAATCCTGACCTCTCTGTTCCTTAAAGCTCATCTGTTCTCAGCAAGAGAGACGATATTCATAGATGGTAACATGAGTAAGTGTGATCTAGTGGTTTTTAAGAACGTAAGTAAAGCTGGGCGGTGGCGCACGCCTTCAATCCCAGCACTCAGGAGGCAGAGGCAGGCAGATCTCTGTGAGTTTGAGGCCAGCTCTGGTCTACAGAGCGAGTTCCAGGACAGGAACCAAAGCTACAGAGGAACCCTGTCTCAAAAAACAAAACAAAACAAAACAAAAAAAGCCAGGCAGTGGTGGCGCACGCCTTTAATCCCAGCACTTGGGAGGCAGAGGCAGGCGGATCTCTGTGAGTTCGAGACCAGCCTGGTTTACAAGAGCTAGTTCCAGGACAGGCTCCAAAACCACAGAGAAACCCTGTCTCGAAAAAGCAAAACAACAACAACAACAACAACAAAAAACCCCCAAAAAACCCCAAAACAAACAAAAACCACATTAGTAAAATATAATCTTCAAGAGATTTGTTGAAAACTAAAATTAGGTGGTTAATCTTGCATGTGGTACTTCTTTCTTAGGAAGGGGACCATCCACTCAGACATTCTGTCTTCCTTAGAGGAAAGGGTGATTGCTTCCCCTTGGTTTCCAGTACATCTCTAGAGGCCAGGGCCTCTTTAGAGTATGGAGTTCCAGGAACTACTCCCCATATGCAGTCACTCACCTAAAAAGTATTCTTTTCTTTTAAAATTTATTTATTATGTATACAGTGCTCTATCTGCACACCAGAAGAGGGTACCAGATCTCATTACAGATGGTTGTGAGCCACCATGTGGTTGCTGGGAATTGAACTCAGAACCTCTGGAAGAGCAGCCAGTGCTCTTAACCTCTGAGCCATCTCTCCAGCTCCAAGTGTTCTTTTCTTAACCAACGGTGCCCAAGCACCAGCTCGAAGGGCGATGCTGGCTACATGTGACCCACACGTGGGGTTGGAGAGAAATGCAGAGTCCAAGCCACAGTGACACTTCTACTCATGACAACTTCCTGCTGTGCCGCAATGTGGAGACCACCCCACTCTCGGGGCATGCCGGGAGAACATCCTAAGAACCGACCCACCAGAGAGTGACCCCTCACTGCTACTGCTGAAAATGTTCTCAGCATTTTCAAAGGTAGACATCCCCCTAAAGCACACGGGGCACATGCTGGGAGTCTCAGCACTAAAGCACGAGAATTTCAGGCTCAAGGCCATCCTGTACATTCCCATCCAGTCCTATACAGAGCAGGAGCCTACTTCATGGAGCCAAACACAAGCCAGGTGTGGTGGTGCACACTTGCGATCCTGCCCTGCAGAAGCAGGAGATAAACGGCTGCACATTGGGGCCAATCCAGCCAGAGTTACACAGGGAGACTCTGTCTCAAAAACACTGAAACTAATAAAATTCCCGAAATGGATCAAATCTGGAGACCGAGAGCCCCCCACTTAAAAATTCTAAAAGTATTAAAGGCTCTGAGAAGGTGCATGGGCAGATTCCTTAAAGCTGACAACATCCCACACGCACGTCTCTCCCCAGAGACTATTACGGTCCTGGAGAACAAAGCCTTAGGCGCATCCTATCAACTGAGAAAGGCAGTTCTGGAGTGATTCCACGGCAAAAGGTCCCCCTATCAACTGGAATAGTCCAACGTTTAGGCCTCTCTTTACTACATAAATTATAAGCTATGATTAAATATATCTTAAATCAAACCCTTAAGTGATATGAATCCTACTATAATTTCTTGTATTTAAATCTGCACTTCATATTGAGAAAGTTCCATTTTTAAATTAAATCAATTAAATCAGGATATTTCTACTGACCTACTTTTTGGGATTTAAAAGTTAAATGAGGGGGGAATCTTCTAAGGTTTAGGATGGTTCTAGCTTCATTAAAATACATTAAAATTCTCGTTTGGGTGTGATTTGTATTTTGTGATTTGGACACAGTACAAAGTCTGGACAAAGATTACAGCAGCAGTTACTGACAGCCACAGAAGAAGGTGCACTGCTTCACTGCCGCCTTAACACGAGGGTGACCCACCTAAACCCCCTAAAGAGAGAAGGGACTAAGCCTTCACTATGCCAAGACACCGTCAAAGCTGACTTAAACGTCCTACTAAAAAGGCAAACACAAACCAAACCAACCCTATCTCTAACACATACCAGAGCTCATAATCTCCATGAGGAGCTAAAGGTAGCACAGCAGAAACAACAGGAAGTAACACTGTGATATTCTAGTTGAATGCCAAGTGATGCTATAAAATGAAACCCTCGTCAGAGGGACGTCCACCAACCAGTCGCCTGCTCTAGCTACCCTGATGGTTCTGAACGCTGCTGTTGCTATTCCGACTTCTGCTCCCACCATCGCTACTTTCTGTAACATTCGCACTCATTTGAGGAAGAAGGCTAAGCAAAGGACAAGACAGCTGTGGTACCTGGGGAAGTGACGTGACTGTTCCTGCCCTACAGACCAGCAGCACAGTCCTTCAAAGCCTGACTTGGCATGCCTGTTCTCTAGGGTGAGGGGGAACAGGCACCGCACTGTTAACCTATGATGGGAAGGGCTTTGTTCCTGGAGTCCAGAAAGGAGTCAGGGTGACCTGCCATTCTTTCTAAAACCCTGATGGAAATGTCACATTTACCCTGGCCGTACACCAGAGAAAATAACTATCAGTTAATTAGCCCTCCTACCATCTGAATACTTACCTGGAGAACACAGTGTCACAGGCCATAGTGATGAAATGAATAATCTTTCCAACCCAAAGACTAAGGGGAGGGGACAGATGACCAAGTGATCTTCGAGGTCTGAGGGATCTGAACGCCATATGTAGACACTGAAAATAATCTTAGAAGGGAAAAGTAATACTCCTCTCCTCTGGGGTCCACCCTTCTGATGACCATGATCATCTGACCATGGTTAGCTGCTGTTCTCGCCTGGATTCTCAAGTTCTCTTGTATTGCTCCTTAACCACACACCCAGGTGCTTCTGTGTTAACAAACACTGATCACAGGTAACACATGCTCACATTCTTCAATGGCTCGGCACTTCTCTGGACACGAGATTGTCAAGGCTCACTTTGGGTTACTGCAAATCATTTCAGATTTTCTCTTGCTTTTGATCACGCTGTTCCCTCTGCCCAAGATATCCCCCCACCCCCGCATCCTGTCCCGGCCGTCAACTTCTTCAGAGAACAAACATGGTCCTTCCTGCTCCCTAGAAAACACAGGTGCTGGTCTAGAAAACCTGCCTCCTCATCCCTGGGTGGTCAGCAGCTGCTGCTTCCACTCCGTTCAGGGGATATGGTCCTTCTCCAGAACACTTTGTTAGCCTGGAGGAATGCTCTACTTCAACACTGGGAACCCAGTGAGACTTGCTGAGTATTGTAGAGTTACTTGCCAAAAAAGCAAACAAACTCCTTAGTAAATAAGATTAATATTATGTTCCATAGATATCCTTTGGAGCCAGTCATAGTAGCTCATGACTATATTCCTAACACTTAGTAGGCTGAAGCAGGAGGATTGCTGAGTGTTTCAGTCCATCCTGGGCTATGCAGTGAATGACGGGGCCAGGCCCTGTCTCAAACACCAACCAGTAAGCAAGGAAGCAAGCAAATGAATCCTTTCTTTCCCCAGTGGTATTAAGTACTGACCTCTGCTTTTTGAACATCACACGGGTTAGAGTCAAAATGGGTACATCTTTTCTTTTCCTCCAAATGGAATGGGCACACAATGAGAATACTATCCCCCAACAACTATCAACACAATATTTTTTTAAGTCTCAATAACTTCCGGTAATGTCAACTTATATTAAAATAAACATAATGAAAACTCAGTCAGATTCCCTAAATTGAAAGTGCCAAAAAATACCCAACTGAAACCTGAACGGTGGTGCCAACTGCTTGATTCCAACTCTTTGTTCGCTGTTTACCAGCTAACCGGCTACGCAGCAGCTGTATACTCGGGGATGAGTCCTATCACCTTTCG